CTTCCAAACCAAACCATTCTATGATTCTATGCATATATATGTATATATGTTGTTATTAACAGCCTAAGAAGCAGGCAATGATGTACATTTATTGAGCTTTTTAAACTGCCAGGACACATTTATTTTATTTAGGTCATGGCCTCAATAAAGCAAAAAATAAACCAGTCTGAGGCTATTTTCAGGGGAAAAAGAAAAATCCCAGATCAACTACTGAAAGTATGCCAGGGAGAATTTTCAGACCACATATTTTACTTTCAATTTTGCAAAGATTAAAATACCTCTCCATATTTTGGTCTGTATACTCCTGAGGAGGATTTAAGCACTGAAAGCACAAAAGCTTACAGAAACATCTCCAATCAGTGGCACACACAAAAAAAATATTAGCTACATTAATCTACTACTTATCATGCAGATATGTTTTTTAATAAGTATCTGCATCTGGAATTAACAGTATTTGTAAATGAAGTCAAGTATTAAAATAAATACAAAGATTATTTGCATACTAAAATAACTTAAATCCAAAATAATGTTTTCACTGCAGTGTCTACTCTGTGTTATACATTATACAGGACAAAAGTATAGTTAATGATTTTTTAAAAATTATTCCTTTTCTCAGCCCCTATTTCTCAGTCCCCTATATATATATATATATATACACACACACGTGCAGCAATATGCATTACCAACTCTGTGCTGCAATTCTGTCACAAAACATGACATTCCTTTTGCAAACACAACAGAGAAAAATTATTGCCAGATAATTTTGAATTCTGCATTTGTAGATTTGCTATTTAGCACAACTTTGAGATTGTATTTTGTAAAACCTGAAGTTTAGAGGGTGTCCCTACCCACCCAAAGCAAAACAGTAGCAGAATAATTCAGTAAGGTGTCCAAGAAGGCATTAAATCCAAACAGAACTGTAAGATGACTTTGGAAAAATCCACCTAAGTCCCTACTAGAGCTCTGCTAGAACTACTTTTGGCAATAATTCTTTTCCTTAACCTCATTCTTCAAAAGGGTTGGACTCTTTTTGCTGTAACGTTTCAAAATAAACTCAAGATTACAGGTTTTACTACAAATATTTCTGACCTAATGCATGAAGTCTGGCAATACATAACAGATTCCTATGATCATACAGAGAAGCAGTAACAACTTCATGCTCTGGAACACAGACTTGACAGCTGCTCGCTGAAGCACAGGACAGGGGGGTCTAATTTTGCCAACAACAACGCCATGAAGTACCTTTTCCTGTCCCTGTAAAAACCCACTGAAGTTATCCACATAAAAATCTTCCAAGTTTCCATAATTTAAAATTTCCCTGGCATTTCGTAAATTCTAAAGCACACTTGGGATCACCTACAAAAATGGCATCAAGTATCAACATGATCACAATGCTGGTGTTTATCAGACTTCAATGCAGTGCAGCCTTTAAAATATTGGCTAGCAATAGCCAGAGCTCTTCTACAATCTGTAAATATTCACAGAAATTAAAAAAAAACAAACCATAATCCAGTAATTTTACAAAACACCTCAAATCAAGAGTCTGCCGTATCTGGGGAAGCAAAAATTGTTGGTTTTCCTGTTGTTCTGACAAATACTGTGCTTTGTTTCCAGTTCTTCTATTCCCAAGAACTGCTTTTTGCTTTTCAATAGTTCTGTTCCTGTCTTTTCTGAAAGACATCGGTTATCCCACCTAACATTAACATTCATTCATATCAGCTACTAAATAAATGCCACTTTCTTTAAATCTACTGCAACTTCTTAATTACAAAGGTTTTTTTGCACACCCAATTCACTCTCATACTAACTAAACACAAACTAACAACTCAGTTCAGCAAGTCTAGGAATTGTTTTATTTTCACCCCTGGAATATCTCCAACTTTCAGTTTTGTTCAACTACACAAACAGATTTTAAAACAAAAAAAACCAAACAGATTTTTCAGAACTTCTATGCATGTTGTTTCCTTTAAAATAAATCTACCCACAGCTTACAAATTATGGTAGAGCTAATATCTGAAATTATTTTAATGTGTTACATTAATTAATGATGCTTCATTATCAGAAGCTCTGATTAGTTCTCTTCATGTAAGTACAGTGAAGTGGCTTTTTGAAATTATGAAGAAAAGTGGAAAGGGAAAGGAGAAATTATCATTGAGGTCAAATCAAGTTTGAAATACATAATTTGTATTGTGTTGTTACATATTTTCCTCCTCTACATATGTCAGTCCCAAATTTGTTATTCTGTATTAAAATGTACATTTTCAGTCCTTACACTGAAGTGAAATGCTGGTATTTCCCCCTTTCTTTTGTCCCTAAACTGAACTACTTCCAAGTTTGTTGGGCAGTTTTGCCTATTTTCAGATCACTTTTTAATCTACATAATTTTTATTTTGATTAATTCTATTTATTTTTTCAAGTTTAAAAGGTGTTTTAATGGAAGTTGAATAGACACCCTTTTCCACAAGTTCCAGTGTGTCAGAGAAGATGATGGTTTAGGTCTGAAAGCAAGAAACCTTATTTTTAGAATGTAAATGAACATGTCATTATTTCCAAGGGAGGACCTTGTTATGAAGATACAAGATGAAAATGGGAAGTTCCCACAGACATTTAAATTACTATCAACTTAAATTCTTATTAATTTCCACAGGCATGCAAGTTTGGGGAGTAGGGTTTTGTTTTGTTGGTTTTTTTCAGGTATTTTTTGTTTGGTTTGTGTTTTGTTTGGTTGTTTTTTTTTTTTCCCTTAGTCTTTCTTTGATAAAGCTTTGAGTTTCTATTTCTCTCATACATGCAAAGTGTCACTTAAAATAATTAGATCTACACAGTATCTCAGCTCTTGCCCAGCTACCCTGCTCAGTCTTAATTTATTCCAGCTTCTCACAATCAGAGCAAGCAGGAAGTTTAAAGTTCCAGCTCTCATCAGCCTGAAGAGGAAGCATACTGCAAAACCTCAGAGCCCAAAATAAAAACACATTAACAGCTGAACAATCCAGCTCTTCCCCAAAGGCAGTTATTCAATTTTTTTATCTCAATGAACTCATGCACTAGAACACTAGAAGTTTGCATAATTTCATCTAAAGGGAATTCACTCTTCTAAATTTTAGACAGATTAAAGAGCAAAAGGTGTTTTTAGTGTTTATCTATGCAAAGGTAACCTCCAAAACTAAGGTCATTCTCCCAAACCAAGGGCAGAAAATCCTGAAAAATGCTTCTCAGATCTAGGCCAGGAATCCCATATGATTATGGGGTTTTTATTTAGCCAAAATGTAAACAGCTTCAAAAGAGATACACTAATTTCCTGAATCTCATATGGGAATTCCAAAGATAGATACCAAAGAATATCACACAACCTCCTCCTAGGTGATCTACCATAAGTAAATCGGGGTTCTAACAGCCATGACTGAAGCAGAAGAACAAAAATTCTGCTCATCTCCAGACAACACAAAGAACTGCCAAAGAATCTTCATGTGCACCCTTAAGGCAGAAACTCAGGTCAGTCTGTACACACTATTTAAAGCAAAACAAAATGTAAAGTGTTTTTACATCTGACTAACTCAGTCACACCAACTCAATTATAGCTATTAAACTGTCATTGCAAGGCACTTTTCTAGTTTCAACCACAGAGCAAAAGTGCACCCAATCTAGCAGAGAGCAAACACATCTAGTCCATAGAGAGAGAGAAAAATAAAAATTCCTGTATCTACTAAGTCTTCATTTAATCTCTAGATTAACCTATTCTGTGCACCTTCTACCACTTATAAATGGAAATTCAGGCAAATATTTTTCAAACACCTTGGTGAACAAGTCAATCAACACATACCACTCTCCACAGTGCACAGCCTTCAATACTCCCACAGCAGCTGTAGTCTGTCGTTCAAAACCTTGTCCTATATGATCTGCATGGGCTCGTGTCCGGTCTTCAAATAGCATTTCACGGGGTTCACTGGTTCGAGGTAGGTACTGCAAGTTTTTTATTTCATTGGTAGTTCTGTATAAGAAAAATAATATTAGCAATATAGCAATTTTTCTTAATTACCTAATATCCACCCATAGCCAATAGGATTATTTTTCTCATTTCAGTGAGAACTTACAGTCAAATGAGAAAAACAGTAACACTGAGGACAAATTAAAATGGAATGAGGTACACAAAAAAATCAGAACACCCATGCAATAAAAAAAAGATAAAAAACCCCAAACAAACAAAAACCAACACCACAGTGTCAGGGCCCTGAGTGCACTAAAAGGCTCTGATGACTGAGCAGCCTCACCTCCAGCCTCCACCCACAAACCCTGACAAGGAGCCTAGGAGCTCTATTTAAGCCTGAGCCTGGGCCTTCAGTCCCAGCCCGAGCTATGTCACAGGAGCACTGGTCTTCACCTCAGCCAGAGGCGTACTGGGCCACAGACCTTCTTGCCTGCTTGACCTCAGGATGACTTTGTCATGATGGACCTGCCTGGCTTGACCTCAGACCTGCCCCATCACCACACACTTGCCTGACACACTGGAGTCTAGGCTGAATCTTGTCCCTAAACCCCAGGTCCACCCTACCTGCCTCTCTCAGGCGCTGTAAGACTGGGCCCTACCCTGATCAGTTCCTGGCAGGGAACTGCTGGCCTCTGTTGCTTCCTATTAGGTATACAGTTGTCCCTGAAGTTATTCTTCATCATTCTTTATCCTACCAAACCACTGTGCATGTAAATTTAGTTCAAAGTTGTAAAACTGGGAATGAAAAGCAGCAAAAGATTTCTCTCTTCAAGGTTTAATGAATGTGAAGGAAACACTGCAGAGCAGGAACAAAGCCACAGACCATTTCCTTGGCCACCTGGAGCCAACACTGTGTTACATATTTTTCCAAGAGCTGCTTATAATAATAGCATAGCTAAGGTTGGAAGGGACATCTGGAGAATGTGTAGTCCAACTTCCCCCACTCAACTAGAGCTGGTGGCTCAGGAGCATGTCTAGTCAAGTTTAGAGCAACATCAAAGACAGAGACTCCACAAGCTGTCTGTGCAACCTGTTCTAGTGTTCAGCCTTCCACACAGTAAACTTTTTTCCTCTGCTTATTTTAAATGGATTTTCTTGTAATTCAGTTTGTGCCCATTATCTCTGGTCATGTCACGAGGCACTGCTGACAAGAGTCCTTCTTACAACCTCCTATCAGATGCTTATACACATTTATATGATCCCACTGAGTTTTCCTTCCTCAAGAGTAAATCTCAGTTCTCCCATGCTTGCCTTTCATGTCACGAGATCTGCTCCAGTATGCCCATGCCTGTCTGGGACTGGTGAGCCAAGAACTGGATACAATACTCCAAATGTGTCTCACCAGTGATGAGCAGAGGGGAAGAATCATCTCCCTCAGCCTGCTGGCAGTGCTCCTCCTAATCTTGTCCAGGCAGCTGCTGACCTGTCAACCTGTCACTCACCAGGACCCTCAAGTCCTTCTCTGTCAGGCTGTTCTTGAGGCAGCTGAGCCCCATCGTGTGCTGGTGGCACAGGGTTATTCCTTTTACATGCAGGACTTTAAACATCCCAGTATTAACTTCATGAGTCCACTGAGCTGGCCCACTTCTACAGCCTCTCAAGGTCCCTCACAAGCAGCAAAACCCTGGGGTGCATCAACCACTCATTCCAGTTTCGTGCACACTCTGTTTCATGATGCCAGCCATTAATGAAGATGTTGAACAGCACCAGCACAAGGTATCAATGTCTGGGTTACTCGAGCAGCAACTGTCCTCCAGCTGGACTTGTGCTGATCAGAACCCTTTGAGCACAGCAGTTAAGCCAGTTCTTGACCCACTTCACTGTCCACCAATCTAGTTTGTCCTTCATTAATTTGTCTATTAGGATGTTATGGGAGACAGGGGTCCAGTATGGAAAGCCTTGCTTACATCAAGATAAACACCCCTAGCGCTCCCCTCACCCTGTGAGCCAGCCATTCTGTTGCAGAATGCTATCAGGTGGATAAGGCATGATTTCCCCTTTGTTAATCAATGCTAGCTACTCCCAACAGTCATCTTGCCCCTCATGCTTGAAATGGCATCCTTCCCAGAATGAAGGCGAGGCTGACTGGCCTATAGTTCCCTAGGTCTTGCTTCTTACCCTTCTAAATGACTGGAGTGACACTGGCTTTCCTCCAGTCCTCAGGAACCTTTGCCAATTGTCATGACCTTTCAGAGACAATCAGGAGTGGTCGTGCAATCATACTGTGTCTGTCTAATCTGTATGTCTGATGTGTTCCTTAATGTGATTCTCATCCACTGAAGGCAAGTAGTCCTTGCTCCAGACCTCCCTACTGTCTCCAGGACCTGGCACTTCTAAAGGTAAATCTCACCAGTAAAGACAAGGGCAAAGAAAGCACTGAGTATATTGGCCTTCTCTGTGTCCTTTGTCTCCAGGCCCTTTGTCCCATTCAGCTGATGCCTTACACTTTCCCCAGTCTTTCTTTTGCTGTCCACAGGCCTGTAGCAGTCCTTCCTGCTACCCTTCACGTCCCTTGCCAAACTCAACTCCAGATGGTCTTCAGTTTAACTGCATCCACTTCATGGTTGAGCAGTATCTCTGTACTCCTGAAGCACCGAACCCTGCTTCCAATTCTTCTATGCTCCCTGTGCTGGGTTCGGGGATGGAGCATTTTTTTTTTTGCTAGTGGGGGAAGGGCCACCTTGTGAGAGCAAAATCCTCTCCTGGCTCCAAGGCGGAGACCCCCCAGCCCAGGCTGGGCCAATGAGCACTAGAGAAACACCTCTGAGAATCCATATTTGTGAGGGGAAGGACTGTCCTGAAAAGAACTAGGTGGGAGTGAACCTGGAGGAGAGGCCATTGACCTAATAAAAGACGATCATTGGCCTAAACAAAGGACAGACAGACACAGAGAGAGCTTTGCTGCCAGAGGAAAGAGAAGGAGTGGGAAAAGACAGAGACCCACACCCAGTTCTACCGTATGGAGCAGAAGACAAAGTCCCCTGCAGCCCATGGAGACTCAACTGCAGAGCAGAGACCCCTGTGTAGGCCATGGAGGACCCCACACTGGAGCAGAGAGGCTGAGCCTGAGGGCAAGTGTGACTGGAACTGGGACCCCGAGAGCTGCTCGTTGCCAGAGCGGGGGTGGACCCCCCCAGAGTGGGAAGCTTTGGAACATCTTGTTCCTGGAATTTCATGCTGGGAAGAGCAGCAGAGGTGAACTGGTTGAACCTCCATTCCCTGCTCCCTGTGCTGCTGGGGGGGTGGAGGGGAAGGTAGAGAAATCAGGAGCAAAGTGATTTGAGCCTGGGAAGAAGGGAAGGGTAGGGGAAGATGTGGTTGTTATGTCTGGTTAGATGAATGGCAACGAATTAAATTGATTTTTCTTCCCCAAGTTTTGAGCCTGTTTTGCCCATGACCATAACTGGTGAGTGAGCCATCCCAGTCCTTCACTCCTAATCCCATGACCCCTTTGTTGTGTCTCCCATCCCATTTCATCGCGTGGGGAGAGTGAATGCAGGACCACATGGCCTCTCTGTGGGTTAAACCACCACATTCCCTTTTTATGTTCAAATTCTGAACAAGAGAACTCCAAATACGTAATTTCTCATGACACATAATATTCAAGTTCTGCAGAGGACATTCCAATGCTCTTAAGCTCGTACTTATACACAGTACCACAGCAAAGCTTAAAGATGTAATTTAATGTTGGTGGTGTCACCTTCCAGATGAGAGACAAGCCCTTAATCCTTGAGGTTTTTAAACATCCACTCACATTTAACAACAGGGGAATTAATTCCAGTCTCCTGGCATATATCAGGAGTTGTGTGCTTGTTCACATTTCCCTGCAGTTTTCACCTTAAACTCCTACTAAATCTCAAAAAATGACCATCACCTTACTCAGACAGACAGTAAACAACTTTAAGGAGAAAGGGAACAAAAAAAACCCAACCAAACAAAAAAGAAACACCAAACCACCCTCCCACCCCCTCCACATCCTTACAAAACAAAACAACTTAAGAGTTTATTTGGAGATGAAGATTTACGGAAGTTTGTACTAGGATATAGTATCAACCAGTAAAAGGTTTGGGATAAAATGAATTCATAGAGAAAGAATACTAACCAGACATTTATCAAGGAAAATAATTCAACATACCTCTTCCTTTTGAAAGGTGACTTTGGCATGTCAGCCACAGGGATCATCTGTTCTCCAGGACGTACCCACATAATAGGACCATCATCACTGTCTTTACGACTCTCTAATTTTAAACTAGAAAGTGTTCCCCATGGCAGTGTACACTAACAGGAAATACAAGCCACAATTTTAAAGTGAGTTACTTTAAAAACTTCTTAAAAGCAGCCTTTATCTGTCATGATTAGAACATTTATTAGACCACTAAGCAAGTAACACATACTCTGACTTCATTATAACAATATTAGGCAGTATATTGTCCCCTTTCTCCCAACCCACTCCCTTCTGTCCTTACTTTTAAGAAGGGTGATTCTTCCAACATATCAAGGAACTCAGGGAAGTAATCCCCCACTTCCTCATCAACTGCTCCAACCAGGCTGATCTGTCTCATTGGGCCAGCTCTATACGTACCATGAGAGTATGTTCTTTTTACCTACAAGTAGAATATGACAGCAAAAGTTACAGCAAGTCCACTAGCACTCAGTCTGCATTCAATAAGCACCTTTAATCTGCATGCTTATGTTTTCTGATCGATATTAGTCCTACATTTACTACAGTCTTCATATACTTAAGATTATGAAGTCAATTACTATGAACTCATCATCAAAGACAGACGTTCTTATTAAAGATACATGACACTTCTTATTTTATTTATTTTAAAGTCTGAACATAAGATAGAGTTACTATTGTGTTTCAAGAAAATGACATTCCAGAATGGTAACTGTGAAAAGCTAATAACATATGTTCTGCTCATCAACTAGTAATTAAGGATTCTTACCTAGAGTACTCAAGTCTAGCTGAATTTTTACCTTTTTTCTGTAACAGTCAGACAGACATAACCCTGAGTTACAACTAATTAAACTCTCAACATCTCCTCTGCTAATCATCCTCTCCAGTGTAGCCTCTGTGCGAGCACCTTAACTGGAGCAAAGACAAGGCCCGTAAAGAGTTAGTACAGGAAGAAAGAGAATAACAGTTATTCCTTCATTTTTGCTGTGTTGTGCTAACACTTTTCGTGCTCCCTTAACACTGTAAGGGCTGTAACATTCACCTCATGAAAAATTTTATCTTGAACTTGAACAAAAACACATATCATTATAAGTTGGGGTTTGTTTTTGGTTTTTTTTTCAATTATCTGATCTGTTGTGTTACCTCAACAAAACATGGGCATGAGACTGATGGGGATCACTTTCCCTTAAGCTTCCAATCTCCTATTTAACAGGCTGAAAGACACAGTGGTATTAATGGATGAAATATGACCAGATCAGAACAAAGAGAAGAGCAGATAGATTACTGCACAAACCAAGTGAGGCTCTTGCACTGCATCTCTAGACATTCTGCATCCAAAGCAAGACAAGAAAAAAAGATGCAAGGAAAAGTTAATGAAGTACTGCTAAGCTATGGTCCTCACTCCTAAAGATCATTAAAATTCCTAGTAATTATAGCAGTGCAGAGGAGAACTAGCAGCAGTTCCTGAAAACAGGACTAAATCATACAACATGGACCAATACTGTGCCCTTCTGAGGAGCTAGGCTAATGTAACCAGACGCATTCCAGAAATGCAGAACCAAATATTCTTCTTCAGATCACCTCAGTCATCATAGACACTCAGGAAATGAAGGACAAACTAAAATTAGGATTTTACAAAGTGTCTGAGCTAATGGAATGGCAAGTCATCACAGTCAGACTGAAAAGAGCCATACTGCCAGACAGTAGCATTTCCCTATTCCCCAAATCCTTACTCGTACATTCCTATAGCTTTTCTGCAAGGACAGCTGGTGATTTGGTGATAAGACATCAGAAAACATTCATTTCTGCTGTATCTGCACTGGCACAAAGCATCAGGAGTTCACACAACTACAGCACTGGGACAAGGAGGGACACTCACTTGTCATTGCTGGCTTACTGGATAGACCAATTCCAAAATACCTTAAAACCACTTTCTGAAGCTACAGACAGGCATAAATCTCACAGTTATTACTCACAGTTTACTGATAAACGTAATATGCAAAAGGATGTTTCTTCCACTGGCATAAGTAGCTTAGTATTCCAGCATTCCAGGCCAGGATATTAAGCTGCTCTTTTCATCCACTCCCCTGATTAAAGGGAACCAACCATTCTTCTGCTTTTTCCTTGCTTCCTTCTGCTACCAATACCATTCTCCCAAGTAACAAGTGATAGGATAAGAGGAAATGGCCTGAAGCTGTGCCAGGGGAGGTTTAGATTGGATATTAGGAAATATTTCTTCACTAGAAGGGTTCTTGAGCATTGGAACGGACTGCCCAGAGAAACACCATCCCTGGAGGTATTTAAAAAACATGTAAATGTGGCATGGTTTAGAGGTGGACTTGGCAGTGTTGGGTTTATGGCTGGACTTGATCTTACAGGTCTTTCCCAACCTAAATGATTCCGATTCACACAGCACACAATAAACTAGTTGTGGAATTACTCCAAGTGAAAACTCTACAACTTCCCCAAAAAAATACTAACTCAAGTTAAATTAGGAGAGGCTGTGAAGCTTTCAGTCGACTAACCCACCCATCTGGCTTACTTACATACCACTAGCTGCCGCCAGTGAAGCATAAAGTCAAAGTGTTTAAGTGCTAAAGGTGGACCAGTTCAGAAATTTCTTCTATATTCCCAAAAAGACCGTGTCACTGAAAATTAAAACTGAAAGATTATTGTCCATCCCAATTCACTCCTAGGTCTCCTGATCAGTTTTCCCCCCCTCCTCATTCAGCAGGTAGAACAGGTTCATTTTCAAGATCCAGCTTGGGAGAGGTGAAATACAAAGATAATGCCAAGAATGTCAAAGTTACAAATGAACACCTTCTTCTGCAACCATATTCAGAGTTGTGTAACTGGAAATACACAGACTGAGAGGTTTGAGTCCCTCAGAGCCGTGTGCTCACTCACCCCTCCTCAAAGGTGAGAGACACAGGAGGGAACAGGAACAGCAAGGAAACACATGGGTCCAGATGAAGGCAGTTTAATAAGTGAAGAAATGAGGAAAGTGAAGAAAAGAGGAAGAAAACACCAACTGGTATTTTGCACCACTCACCGTCTCCCACAAGCAGATCGATACCCAGCCAGTCTCCAAGCATTAACTACCTTCCAGACCAACACCCCAGCCCGTCCTACTCAGTTTTTTATTGCTGAGCATGATGTTCTGTGTCATTGAATATCCCTGCAGTCAATCTGGGTGAGCTGTCCCATCCATGTCCCCTCCAAACTTCTTGCCCACCCCAGCCGACTCACCAGCAGGTCCAGAACAGGGTAAGAGAGAAAGCCTTGACACTGTGCAAGTGTTGCTCAGCAATAGCCAAAACACCAGCGCTATCAACAGTTTTAGTCACAAATCCAGACCACAGCCCCATAACAGGCTGCTATGAAGAAAATTAACTCTAACCCAGTATAAACAGAATATAAATCCATGCTGGTGATGAAAGAGAAAGATCTACTCTCTCTTTTTCCCGTCTTTCCTACTAGCATTAGGTCTTTTGCAGATAGACAAGAAGCCAGCTTAGGGAACTGTTCTGATTTTAATCCACAAATTACCAGAAGAATTTATTTATTTTAGAAAATTATATAATTAAGAATTACATAAAAACATTAGCCATAAAGACTAATGCCTGGCAAGAAAGAACAAGAGGGAACCTGGAAGAGGAGGCAGCTTTTGGCAGTGAAAAGTGACTCCTATCTCACCTCTTCCATGGACTGGGTTATAGCATCTGAAACACTAGACTCTGGTCAGGGGTTGCTATTTAAATGACACTATCTTAGATTAGGCTAAGGAATTAGAAAAACATATATTAAAAGGTGAGGTCATTCTTAGAGGGAAGAACCAGCTAGCAAACAAAATTAATCTTCACTCACTCCAAAATAAGACTGCTACAAAGTAATGAATAGTGTGGAAACACCAAAAACCTTCTGTTGATGTCTGACCAAAGATAAAAGTGAAATTAATCCTCTTAAAGACAACAACAAAATAAATACTATCAATAGCATATTAGATAACATTTTCCTTTCCTTTTACTGTCAATATCCTTTGGCTGGTTTGTCCATAGGAAGAAGAAAAGATTCCTCTATATATTTCTAAACTCACAAAAACAATGCTAATGTACTAAACCCAGTACTACTTCATCAAATTATAGATCAAATTATGCACTGACCACAAATCAAATATTATACATCTTTTATAAGGTGATATTCTTGAATTTAATTTTACAGGTTACAGCATGACTACGTTTTTAGAATGTTACAAATTTGCTGAAATAAATAACTGGAAGAATCTAAATCCAGAATAAAAGAAGGAATTAATGACATGCAGTTCTTCTAGCATGTGGTCAACATGATCAGAATACACACACACACACACAAAAAAATCACCAATCAAATGCAGTATAACACAAGGGACAGGTAAAATAGACAGAAACATATAACCAAATAAATACAACACAGCCTAACTTCATTCTTCTCATGTAGCTTAAACCTGAAGTATGTCACCTAAAAACACACACAAAAGGAGACTGTCATTTTCTTGCCTCAAGGTAATGGAAAATTAAGACAGTGAAATCACCACTGAATTCAGAACTAGTAAAACTTGAGAATTACCTGCTTCTATGGCATCAACTGATTTTTAATGTAACTTAACTTGCTCAGTTTTGAGTAAGGAGTTCTAAAAAGCAAATGTTTTGGCATAAACATGTTAGTATTTAAAAGAATGTGATGACTGAATCTGAATACATATAAATATATTATACTGACAACAATATATTTGAGCAGTATCATCCTACAAACAGGAAATATTTTAGACACTGTATGTTAAAGCTGTTTCCATTTTCTGTTTGAAAAGAACACAAACTGGAAGGAAGAGTCCAGAGAAACCAAACATTTCAAGAGATTAATTTTAAAAATGTTAACTGGGGCAAGTCACAACTGAATTCCTATTTTTAATATAGTAGGGTTTTTTTCAGTTGAATTTCTATCATTTTCCTGCAAGAATTTAAAAAGCTTATATTTCTTTCAGTTTTTCAGCTTTAAAACCAGAAGTCTGGAAAAGCAGTCCTCAGACACACACAAAAAAAAATCCAAACCCACTGAACCCAAAACAATTTGAAGAAACCCACAAAGAAAGCCCCACCAAAGACCAACAAAAACAACAAAAACATTAAATCACCATAGAACTATGCTGGGAGATCAGACAGGATAGTTGGTTTCCATTTCACTACACGAGCTCACAAGCTGCACTTACACATTTGTATCTTAGAACTGAAAATGTCCAGCCTCACATTCACTGCTACTGCTCTGGATATGTTGTCTCAAACACTGTAATCATGAAGAGGCAACGGAGCATCCCTTCTTATTCGGTATATTTTGAATAAGTGACCAAAAGGTTTTCTGTTCCTTGTCAACTTTTTTCTTAAAGGCTTA